GCAGAACAATGCACGACACTCGGGATTTTGGAAACGTAATCAAGTCCCTCTTCCATCAATTTATCCGTGGTTAGGAAGTAACTGGCCAACAGCATAACCAGCCCTCCGGCTGAGCTCGCCGCAACGTCCATGTGCTCCTTCAGTGTCGGTTTAATGCCTTGCTGTACCAATGGACCTCCTGCACAGCGACCGTTTCCAATTGCACTGAGCCAGCGTCGGTCAAAGTTTTGGCTGGTTTTTCTTTTCTGTCGTAGTCTTTTTCTTTTCAATATTTCTCCAATATAAAATACTATATTTGTTAAAATATGTATCGAGTTTGAGCCCGAAACAAAAATCTGAATATTCCAAATTGATATTTTGCCGACATCCGAAATCGAGCAAAAAAACAAATATTGGAAATTTACTTTCCTAATGTCCAAGAGTTGGCAGCCAACAAAAGAAGGAAAAAAATAAAAGCAAAAGGGGCGCACGGAATATATTTCATGTTGCTCCAAATATGTGCTGGAGTCGGCCAAAAGAAGAGTGACGAGAAAAGTCAAACATTGGACTTTTGCTGACCGAATTCCATTTGATTTAGTTTCCTTCTCCAGTACACGTGGCCATCTTTGACCACGTTATGCTCTTCTTCAGGCGGTGGACATATATGTATTTATAGCTTACACGTTGGTTTTTTAAGTGAGAGCTATTGTTGATGAATCGCTTCAAGCGCCGTTTTGAGTGCTTGATAGTGGAGCAGTGGGCATGCTTTGCTGTGCGAAGAGGTGTAGAGGGACTCTATCATGGGGCTTCAAAGTTTAGATAATTACATCCATGTGCTAGTGTTTTTTAGCTAATTAAATCTCGTGGTAAGATTTGTGAATTCCTTCGCGAGATTGAGAGATTATTTAGTAGAAATTGCGAGGCTAAACACTACGTGAGTTATTGGGTGTACTTGGGGCTTGAGAAACACTTAGAGTATTTAAGTGACTCGAGTGTGGTTGTAATCTCAATTGTATCGCTTGATCTATAGTGGAATTTCGTGCTGCTCTCCCCGTGGACGTAAGTCACTACGACCGAACCATGTAAATCTGGTGTTCAATTTATTTTCTTGTTCTGTCTATTTTATTATTCGATCGTTTGGCTTCCATAACAATATTTTCTGCATAAAATAAAACTCGATCAACACAAATACCATTAACAATTAGGTAATCGGCCACAACACAAAGCACGGAATAGCATGTGCTTCTTTGCTGAATTTTATGAAGCTTGTACGAACACCCCTCAATAGACTTCAATTACACTAGTTTCAATATCTTAGAGCTCACAGACCCGCCCCAAAAGCTAATAATAACACGTAAGATCAGAGGCTCTCTCCAATAGCAAGACCTTTGTCAATAATGTATCCCTAATCAAGGGGCACGGATACGAATATGGTAGACATAACATGGCCCTTGGTTTGGTGAATGAGCTTTTGAGTCTTATAACCATTTGAAGGAACAAGAAGGGGTCTTAAACAAGTCACCGGCATATATTACTTGTTAAAAAGACTGTTTATGATATTTCTTACGGAGCTGTTTGATTAAATAAGAAAAATAGAAGGTTGGAGTCAGAAAAAGGAAAAAAAGAAGAAAGAAAGAAATATTACAATCATGAACTTTAGATATGGTGGTTGGGTCCAAAATCAAGAATTAAAAGAAGGGCACGAACAGATGCTCTTCACATGCAACGATCTCTTGCAGTTTTGTAAACGACCTAACCCCATGTAAGAGATGCTCTAAAGTCAACAAAATTTAAATCAAAGCCGCCCAAAATTCAACATCCTCTTAATTAATAGGATGTTACTAAAACAAAATTGATAGGAGCCCTTAAATTCTTGGGGCATCTCTCACAAGAAAAATGGACCCTCATTGAACCTAAGCAGGTCATTAAAAGGCTCCAACTTTAAGGTCTCTCCCTTAGATTTTTTGGGGTTGTAAAACTCTAAAGGGGATACTGCCTGCTGGAGAGGATGAAAAAAAAAAAACAATTCCCCGACAATAGGGGGTCCCTGGATAGTCCGGCGGTCAGGACTTAAAACAAGGCATTGTAGCCCAAGAGGGTGTTTCTTCAGTAAATGAGGTTCAATAAACAACACCCCCACAAAAACAAAGAATTCTGCTTTTGACTTCAATTCATGTTTTTTATTTGTTAAGATCTAGAAACCATCATTAAATACGCAAGCTATTGAGCTTTCCCTTTTTTTTTAATCGTCATAACAGTTAATGACCACAAACTACCTATAATTAAATATAACTCACTTAAATTCCATAATGTAGTTTTTGTGAGATTTTGTGAGACTACTGCCAACTATTATAAAAACTTAGGCTATTAGATGAAGGCGTAGTTTATTATTTAAATATTCTAACATTCTCCCTCACGCGTAGGCTAGATTTTATTCGATTGGGGAGGCAAATAGGAGCCTGGAAGATTCGAACTCAGGATGTCCCAGCTCTAATATCATGTGAGATTTTGTAGGACCACTGCCAAGTATTCAAAAAGTTTAAGCTATTAGATGAAGACGTGATTTATTATTTAAATATTCTAATAGTTTTAACAATAATTTCCAACTTGAATTGTTAAGTTGGAAATTTAGAACTGCATTCTAGAATTTAGGTGAGTTATATTTAATTATAGGTAGTTTGTGGTCGTTAAGTGTTATGACGCATGGGTTTTTTTTATTGTATCCGCCGCCTGTTTGTAATAGATTTCTCTACATAACTAGCCTTACAGATAAAAGTTTATCAATCAATCAAATTTATAACCAAAAAAAAAATCAAATAAATGCAAATACCGACTGCAAACTCATGCACGTACGTCCACTTCTTGTTTGAGAATCTTTCGTGTCTTTTAAATACACAAAAGGGTTATACTTAGGCTCCGTTTGTTTCGCATAAAATGAAATGATTTGGAAAATATTTTCCTAAAATTAATCGTTTATATTGCAATATCAACAATAATTTATGTCTAAACATTTTCTTAAATGATGAAAATATTTTTCATTCTTTTATTATGTAAGCAACATAAGTAATCAGTTTTAGGAAAATGTTTTCCAAATCATTGAAAAACACTTTGAAGTACACTGTTGTGTTTTTATGTGATTTTCCTCTTTGCTTTATTTTTCAATGTGATTTTCTCCATTTTCCACTTTAAATTTCATGTATATTGTGAATTTGTAGCCTTTATTTGCATCATGTTCTTCTCATAGAGCTCAGTTTGGTTATGTTCATAGAAACTTTTTTTTTTCTATTTTTCAAAAGCAAAAAAATTATTTTTTACATGAAATTATCATTTGGGTGGTTATGGATAAAATCAACATCAACATTAATCTATTTACTTGAGAGCAACACATTTTTCTTTACATAATCAGAAAAGTGATTTTGGTTATCTCTAATTTCATATAAGTGCAGGAAAACAGTTTCGGATCTCTTTTACTTAATAATTTGTATCTTCTTCTTTGCCACAAGAAAGATGAGAGTTCTCAGTGCTGTTAATATTTTTACGAGGGGTGAAATTACTAATTCCTATGATAGCTGCATACATTATTGTCAATAATAACTTCTCTCATATTCATAGGAACCATTAATGATATTAGTTTGAATTGAGAGTAGTTCTTTTAATGTTTGAAAGGAATGAACGTGCTACCTTGATTAGTTCTAACTAGACCCATTGAACAGGAGAATCAGATCGAAAATGGTCTGAATCAAATTGACCCATTTACCCGTTTTGATTAATTTCCATGCAATACAAATCTAGTAACCCATACCTGATTCGACCCAAACCCAACTCAAACCGACACGAACCATACTGCTAAAACACTTCTATATTTAACCCGATTTAGGAAAACTCATAACCAAACTGAAATGAGAGCACGGAGTAAACGAGCTTGAAATCGAGTCTGAACGAGAGAGAGTGAAGAGGGAGTCATAGAGGTGGGTTGGGCTAAAGTAAGTTATGAACCTATTTAACACCCATATTATTTTAGGCTTTTCTATTCTAAACCCATTTTGGATCAGATTGAATATGGGTTACTAGATTTATATTGCATGCAAATATCTCAAAACAGATTAAATGTGTCAATTTGGGTCGGATCTTTTTCAACCCAATTCACTCGTTTGACAAGTCTAGTTAGAACTAATGAAAGTAGTGTGTTCATTCCCTTAAAACATTAAAAGAACTACTCTCGATTCAAAATGATAATCTTAATGTTTCTCGGACGGAAAAAAAATTTAGTGATCAAAAGATAAACAAAAGTTTCAAAGATGCTAATAGTTCTTATGACATAATATGAGAGAAGTTACTATCGACAGTAATGTACGCAGCTATCATATGAATTGGTAACTTGAACCCCTCGTAAAAATACTAACGACACCGAGAGCTCTCATCTTTCTTGTAGCAAAGAAGAAGATACAAATTCTTAAGTAAAAGACATCTACAACTGTTTTGCTCCACTTAAATAAAATTAGAGATAACCAAAATCACTTTTCTGATTATGTAAAACAAAATGTGTTGCTCTCAAGAAAATAGATTAATGTTGATTTGATTTTTGAAAAAATTGATTTTATCCATAACCATCCAAATGATAATTTTATGTAAAAAATAAATTTTTCGCTTTTGAAAAATAGAAAAAAAGTGTCTATAAACATAACCAAACGAGCCCTATGAGAAGAACATGATGCCAATAAAGGCTGCAAATTCACAATATACATGTAATTGAAAGAGGAAAATGGAGAAAAACACATTGAAAAAGAAAGCAAAGAGGAAAATCACATAAAAGCACAACAGTGTACTTCGTAGTGTTTTTCGATTATGAACTTAAACAAAGGACGATATAGAAATATAGCAGTATGGTTCATAATTATCAACATTCAACCTATTTGATGGTTTAGTGGACGAATTGCAACTTCAACCGCTGTACTCCAACGGGTCCGAAATAGCCTCGCACTGTCCGAAATATAAAGAATTCGACATATTTAGCACAATAATAAAGATAATCACCACAAATATTACAATCAATTACGTTTATCAGCCACAACACAGAGCACGGAATAGCATGTGCTTCTCCGGCGAATTTTATGGAGCTCGTACATCGAACTTCGATAGACTTCAATTACAATAGTTTCAATGTCTTAGAGCTTCCGGAGCCACCCCGAAAGCTTATAATAACACGTAAGATTATAGGCTCTCTCCAACAGCGATACCATTGTCAGTAATGCATCCCTAATCGAGGGGCACGGGTTCGAATAAAGCCATCACAAGATGGTCCTTGGTTTTGTTATCGGGAAGGCCGTGTCCGTCTCCATACTGGTAAAAGCTCTGAGAAGCTCGTGCCAAGTTCAAACAAGCACCGAGAAAAGGCGCGAACCCAGGAAATGGGTAGTCCTCAAACACATCTTTGTTCATTCTCTTCCAGGTCTCGCGCACCAGATGCCTCACGTGTTCCCGCGTGGCCTCTTCCGAAGCGCCGGTTTCATTAATGTAGCATTCGAGCGCCTTGAAGTTGTCTCCTCGTGCCAATTCATACTGTGCATGGACGACATTGATGTTTTACAAACATAAGTCTCAAGATCCGTATAAAATGTTTAAAAAGCGATTATTTACAAGAAGGATAAACGTCAAAGTAAGTTACCGATGAGGTACTGAGATCATTGTTGAGTCGAAGGATTTTGGCAGAACAATGCATGACACTCGGGATTTTCGACACGTAATCAAGTCCCTCTTCCGTCAATTTGTCCGTGGTTAGGAAATAGCTGCCCAACAGCATAATCAGCCCACCGACTGAATCCACCGCAACGTCCATGTACTCCTTCAGTGTTGGTTTAGTGCCCTTGTTGTACCAATTGACCTCCTTTATGTAGGCCTTGCATTCATCCGCCCACTGTAGGATTGAAATTCGGAAAAGTGTGTGAATGACCAAGTCGAGGGACGTTCTTTTCTCCTACTTTTTCGGATTCTCAAACGTTTAAACAGAAGTTTCGTTACAAAAGTAGAAATTGTTAGGTGAAAGATTTTAGCAAATCGAGATTACCACTTTTCGCATGTAAGGAATGGTGTTGATTCCTAGCTCTCTCATCGTCCAATAACCAATTTCGTTGGTCGTGTTGTACAAGGCCATGAAACTATTCTTTATCGTTGGAGGAAGCTTATCAATGTCTGTGATGTCCCACCTAGATAAGATATCACCATTTCAACATTTCGTAAAATTTACCATCACTTGGATACGCTTTTAGTGATACCAGTGAAGGTTAAGTACTTACTATTACTTTATTCGCCCAAAGCAATCAATTATATTGAGGGAAAAAAAAGCTAATTTAAAAAGTGATATGTTCAAAATACATCGGAGAGTTTATATCATATAATTCTCAGGATTTGTTTTATCCCTCGCGTCATTCAGAGACTAATTAACCGCTTACCTTTTCTCTTGGCAATAATAGTTACAAAAGAAAATGATGATGGTAATCATATTACACTAACCTGACAATAAAATCTGTTAAGAGCTCAAGTTCTTCCAGCGTCCCATATACATCATAAACGTCATCAATAAGTGTCACCATACAAAGGAGCTTCGTCGTCATTTCCCTGTAAGCTGAATATTGAGGTTCGAAAACCAGTGCGCAGCACCAAAAATAGTGTTCCACTAGCCTGTCTCTAAAGAAGGTCATCTTGTTCGCGCCAAGTTCAACCCACCACCTGAGAAATTTGCCATACAACGACTAAGTCGATCTGAATGCGCTCCTATATGTTTGGTGTTTGCATGAATTTATATCCTCCCGTCAAATGCATCTATCAACTATATATAGAGTGCTTGCGCATACCTTGCCATATTGCTAACTTCCTTCTTGTGGACTGATTGCACTAAATTGAAGTCTATTTTAGCCAATCGGAGCAAAGAGGGGATCATGTCTGTCTGTTTCTCGTACATGTCCATGAACCACCGAGCCTCCAACCTGTTTGGCCTCCAATGGATCGGCATATCTAATGCGTGACTCACGTGGCTCGCTAATATAGCGGGAACTTTGTCGAGGTGTAGATCCTTTAGATGCTTGGAAGCAAAGTTCCTAGCTTCATCAAGTATGGTTTCACCTTCCAATCCATGGACAGAAGCTTCATAAAGACCAAGAAGCCCCTTCACATCCTTACTGAGCAATTCGATGAATGTGTCCGTCTTGTTCATAAACCTTTGAAACACATCTATACGTCCAGCAAAAGGAATGGTAAGGTAAAATTTGATGCGTCAACATGATTCACAAAAGGTTAAAAAGTTGGCAACTACCTTGCGGTACGGTGTATCCGTGTTGTCTGAGTAGCCGGAATCGAAGGGAAGTGGCATAGAGATCGTCCAAAAGTTGAGCAACTTCGGTGTTGTAGATGAAACTTAGAGCGTTCTTGATCTCCGTCTCGAAATGGTATCCTAGTCCTAGTCTTTGAACCGCATCAATGAACTCGAGCTTGGCTACCTGATTCATCTCCCTGTCGAATATACCCTTGACTTCCTTGTTCAACCTTTGGACTTGCTCCGTATATTTATCCTCCTAGGCACATGAAATTCAGGAGCAGATGTGAATATTTTCCGTAGTTCTTAAGCTAGGCCGGATTTTGTGTTGAAAAAAAAATCATTACCGTGTAATCAACACTGAGTGACTGCAAAAGGCCATAGTCCCAAATGTTAGGTTCCCAATTTGCTGAACGTCTCACAATCTCTTTATCTTCAATCTTCAAAGCGCGTGTCACGAATTGAGCGCCGGAAAAGGAGGAGGCGGAGGAGGAGGAGGAGCGAAGGTGTCTAAAGAATAAGAGAGAGGGTTGATTATGGCGGGTTGAGGAGGGGAGGAAGCTTGCGACCAATGCTGGAACAGCCATTGCGAAATTTGTTGCGATTCACTTAGTATGCTAACCATCCTTTATATAGGGGTTGTTGTGGAGGCCCAGTCATGGAAAAGTTTGTAGTTGCTTTCGGCGCAAAATTTTCTATTTACGCAAGCCATTCTCTAAGCATTGTAATTTATGTTCTTATTTTTTTATTTTGCTCCAAAACAGTTGTCCTCGACACACCATATTGATTTGGATGAATAAAAATGTCGCGCTTCAAAAATAGAGGTGTCAACATGGGTCATAAGCCCATTCTTTGACTCATATTTTTACAATCATGTTGTATATAGGTTGTTTAAACACTTAAAAAGGCCAAGTGAAAATGAGTTTAAAAAATTAAAGTTTAATCAGATTGGGCCTTAATAGAATTTTAGATGATTTATTTTTGTTTCTATATGCACACGTTTATATTTCAATTCCTCGAGCATTTTTTGTTTCTTTTAACCACAAATTTATTTTAGGGAAAACGTCACAAAAAGCCCCCAATTATGCCCACCGTGATACATTTACTTTGAACTTTTTTTGTGATATCAAAAACCCCAAACTATACCCACTGTGATGCATTTACCGTGACATTTCTCTTGTGACATAGAAAATCCCAAATTTGTATATATGTGACACATTTACCTTCCATCAACATTCTGTCAGATGAATTTTTAGTCAAAATAACGTCGTTGTTATTTCACTTAAGCCACGTGGGCATCATGCCAACACCGTTTGCTTTCCAGCATCCATGTAGGCAAATTTTTAATGGTTCTCATTGACGAAACTTTGACAGCGGGTAAATATGTCACACAGGTACAAGTTTGTTATTTTTAATGTCACAAAAAAATTTAGGATAAATGTGTCAGCATAACTTAGGATTTTCGGTGGTTTTTGCCCTTCATTTTAGGGCTGCGTTTTTTCTACTCTCACCATGGTTAAAACACTCCTTGTTACAGTGCTTTGACAATATTAACCCTTGTGGGTCCCATCTTTTTTAAGGGTCCTTTTTTTTGGCTGTGGTGTCTCATTTGTTTTCTTCTTTATTTTTTCTCGTGGGTCCCATTTTCCTCTTTCTTTACTTCTCTCCCTTTTCCTCCTTCGTTACTTCTCTCCCTAAGTTCTTAAATTCGGTCATGGTTCAAGCATTGGTGGAATATGTAAAAAAAAAAACTCTCTCTTGTGGTAAGTCTCTGTTACTTGTCGTCCAGATCACGTCGCAGTCATCGGTTTTTCAATCGTTAACCGGAGTTTGATATCCTGGCTCCCGCATTGAACTTTACGCCTATCAGAACACGGGGATTTGAACCATTGACGGGCAATAGGGCCACCTCATCGCATAAGGGCTCGGACTTAAGAATTGAGTTCGCAATCACCTCTTCAGTCCTTTTAATCACCAGCGGCGATAGCTTGGTAATTAAGATCGGCGCGGAATTATGAGAGATCGCAAGCACGAGGAGGGGCAAATCCTCGCCGATTGCATTTTTGGTTTGCGTAAACAACTTAGTGGGAGAGGGGAGATTTGAACCACGTATTTGGAGGTGGGTAGGGGATGGCGAATCGGCAATAGCAGTGACAATTATGACCAAGAAGATAAAGACGAAGAAGTAGAGATTGCTTATGAGCTTGAAGAGTTTTTGGGCCAAGGCTTCAACTCTTGGATTTGAATCTTTAATGATTTTTTTCTTGTCTTTTTGATCGATCAATCGAAAATTTTGATGCGAAATAGGATAATTTAAATTTGCCATGAGATGGAAGAAGACTAGTTGGGTGAAGAGGAGGTTTATGCAAATTAGGGCTTCAACACAGATTATTGACATGAGAGAGATATTTTAGAAAGAGAGAACATAGAGAGAAAAAAAATGAGAAGAAGGAAAGTGGCCCTGCCAGAAAAGAGAAAGAAGAGAAGCAGTTGAAGAATGCTTAAAAAAAGTAGAACCCAAAAAGGTTAATATTGTCAAAACATTATAAGAGGAAGTGTTTTAGCCTTAGTAGGAATGAAAAAGCCGCGATCCTCATTTTATTGCACCTTTAATATATATGGCCGGCACACAATACCAAACCAGTACTATGACAATCAATCAATTCTGTGGCCAAGAAAAATGTTTCAAAAACTAAATCTATTGATTGTCAGCTTTTCTTTTTCTTTTGAGGCCTGTAATTAGTATAGGATGTGTAACGAACGGTTCATTTCACGTTGATCTTTTCTCCAACGTGGGTATTTTAAGTGATCACCACCAGAAGGTGTTGGGTGATGACACCTCCAAAAGTTAACTGTTTCAAATATGTGAGGAGCTTTTGACCAAATATATATATGTGAGGAGCTCAACGAGGGAAGTCACTAAAATTTGTTGATTGAGTATCATAGTCATACTCGACGAGGGGTAAAAAGACACTAGATGGAACTCTACATACCTAAAGCTTAAGGATGCTCGTCTTTCCATGTCCATTTTCCCATTTGATGTACCTTCCCGGCCATGGTCTCTTCTTCGAAATTAGATCAAATTTCTAGCACTAGAAGAAATAACAGGAGATTTGTTCTAATAGCTTGTATACCTAAAAATCTTTAGTAATTTCTTATTTGTTAATTGTTTTTCATGTTTAGGCTCTGTTTGCTTCGCAGAAAATGAATCATTTGAAAAATATTTTCCTAAAAATGATTGCTTGTATCATTTATAAAAATTAATATATAGAGCATTTAGGACCCGTGGTCAAGTGATGTAGGACACTACTTCAACACCCCCTCTCACTTGCAAGCCACATTATAAGGGCACGTGGAATTTGACTGATGAGGTAGGATGCACATTCACAAAAGGGATTATACTGCCTCTGATACCATATTAGATTTTATGAGATCAGTGCTAACTGTTCTAAAAAGTTAAGCTATTAGATAAAAGTGTGGTTTAATATCTAAATATTCCAACACATACGATGACATCCATAATTAAGGCAAAATCAGGAAATCTACCATCAATTATCATGGAAACAGATGAAAAAATGTTGAGGGCTAAGCAAGATAGTCACTTTAACTCTCGATATGCTTTCGGTCCTTCTTGTTGGTTAAGACGATCGAAGCTGAAGCTAAAATGGGGTCTTTTTCTTTGGCTCCTTCTCATTTGGCTTCATTTACCCACAAGAGCCATGTCCTCCCGTCCATTGTATAGACTTCAATTTTTTTTTTAAATGCCACGTTAGACTTAAAAATTCACTAGAAAAGCCACGTAGAACAAATCGCCGGAATATCTCACCAGAGGCATTGTAACGACCCGGTCCGACGAGGGCGGGGAGTGGTCGCCGGGGCCAGAGGGCCTGGACAAGGAGCGGCTCCTGGCAGGCTTCTAGGATGGCAATGGGGGGCATGTCTCTTGTCCCACATCGCTTAGGGGGGGAGTCCTGGGCTAGTTTATAAGGCTTGGGTTCTCTATTCTGTGTAACGCGTTTTAAAGCCGTGAGGGTCAGTGGGCCCAAAGCGGACAATATTACACAGTGTAGATCCCGGGTCCTTACAAATGGTATCAGAGCCGACTCCCGACCGCGTGTGGGGCCACAGCGAGGACGCTGTGCTCGAAGGAGGGGAGAATGTAACGACCCGGTCCGACGAGGGCGTGGAGTGGTCGCCGGGGCCAGAGGGCCTGGACAAGGAGCGGCTCCTGGCAGGCTTCTAGGATGGCAAGGGGGGCATGTCTCTTGTCCCACATCGCTTAGGGGGGGAGTCCTGGGCTAGTTTATAAGGCTTGGGTTCTCTATTCTGTGTAACGCGTTTCACATGGGCTTGCTTCCGCTGCGCATGATAAGAACAAAGCCTTGAGGGGAAGGGCCAGAGAGCGCCCCAAAGAGGACAATATTGGGCTTGGGGAGGAAGGGCCAGAGAGCGCCTCTACCCAAGTCAACGCGTTTTAAAGCCGTGAGGGTCAGTGGGCCCAAAGCGGACAATATTACACAGTGTAGATCCCGGGTCCTTACAATATTGTAAGGACCCGGGATCTACACTGTGTAATATTGTCCGCTTTGGGCCCACTGACCCTCACGGCTTTAAAACGCGTTACACAGAATAGAGAACCCAAGCCTTATAAACTAGCCCAGGACTCCCCCCTAAGCGATGTGGGACAAGAGACATGCCCCCCATTGCCATCCTAGAAGCCTGCCAGGAGCCGCTCCTTGTCCAGGCCCTCTGGCCCCGGCGACCACTCCCCGCCCTCGTCGGACCGAGTCGTTACATTCTCCCCTCCTTCGAGCACAGCGTCCTCGCTGTGGCCCCACACGCGGTCGGGAGTCGGCTCGATACCATTTGTAAGGACCCGGGATCTACACTGTAATATTGTCCGCTTTGGCCCACCGACCCTCACGGCTTTAAAACGCGTTTCACACAAGCTTCATGTGGCCGAGAACAAAGCCTTGAGGGGTGGGTCTGGCCTGTGGGCTTGCGCCCCAAAGAGGACAATATTGGGCTTGGGAGAGGAAGGGCTAGAGAGCGCCTCTGCCCATGATAATGCGTTTTAAAGCCGTGAGGGTCAGTGGGCCCAAAGCGGACAATATTACACAGTGTAGACCCCGGGTCCTTACAGTCATTGTAGTGATCGATTTTCCATTAATGTGGCACTCAAGTGATCAAAAAAGTTATATGGTACTCATGGTGTCCTTTTTTCCCACAAAAAGCTCCACACCAAAAGAAGAAATATGTGGAAGAGAGAATTATGTAATTTATGTATATTTTTGTGTATGTCGTAACGAAGAGTACATGAGCCTAACAAGATTATTCAATCGGAGATATGTACAGTCAAAGAAGATAAATACACAATCTCAAGTGATATGAAATATTAAGGAAATATCATGAATATCTCTAACTATGCATCTTCCGACTTTAATTTTTACTAAAAAATTAAATAAAATATGTTGTCTCGTTTAAGATAACTAATAAAAGTAAATTAGCAATAGTGGACAAAATAGAAACAATTATTAGGCCAATTATCGTGAAAAGCCTAGAATTTTTCACTTTTCTTTTTATCAAA